TGCAAATCACAAGCCTCAAAAAATCAGACTAAAATTGGGCTAAAGGGAAAACTGGTAACGGTAGTTAGAAGTTTTATACTAATTTATTTGACTATTTTGCTACAACAACAGTCAACCAAATTTAAAACATTATCATTCACCAAAGAATGCTTTCATTGATATCCAAATCATTGAATTCTATCACATGGAGAAGTTCGACTCCATCCAATTTTTGTCAACCTTTGCATAGACCTACGTTTATTCATTCTTCCCAGCGGGGTCTTCTCTCACTAATTTCCTTTCTAGAGGTCACCTAGTTTTGAAAATGACTGTCTTCAAACGTTCAGCTTTCAATTGATCAGCTTAATTTTAGTCAAATTCAATCTGCAAATCACAAGCCTCAAAAACTTCAGGTGTTTGTAGCAAATAGAAAATTTCAAAAACTGAGGCTAAAATTTCAATGTTGAGGGCTTCGAATTCAAAAATTTGGAGCTGGTTTAATTTCTGTTTGTCTGTTTAATTGTTAATTTTCATTGGATCAAACCACTCAGAAAGCTTACCATGATACCTTTATAATGACTTTGATAATAAAAATTGCTTGACAAAGATATCTGGCCACAGCACATCCCACAAAGATATAGGAGCTCTACATGGAAAGATTTAACGCCTAACAAGCAGCTGACATAGCTAACAAGCAGCTGTCACACCTAAGAAGCAGCTGACATTTAAGTCTCGTCGTCTTTCGAGATTTCGAAAATAAAAAAAATCTTTTCTAGCTTACTTAAGCTAGCAATAATGACGAAATAATCAAAATAGACTCAATTCTTGTTTCAAAGTCAAAGTTGTTTACAAAGAAGTTGTGTTCTTCAAGTATATTTTGTGCTCAAACACACTCTTTCTAGTCCATTTCTGAAGTTCTTTTATATATGTTTCGTATTCGGACAATGAATGATTAACATTTGCATTTGTTCAGCGAGAAAGTGATGAATCAATAAAAAGAGAGAAATCGACAATTCCAAAAATCTTTTTGTGCAGAGAGAAAGAAAATTCGACAACAATTCTATGAATTCTAGTAAGAGAGCCGATTTCGAGTAACGGGGTCTGTCTCGCTATGTGGAGGACCGTATGCCAGATGGGGTCGGAAAATGTAGCTGACGATGAAATCTTGTGGGGATTTCAGTGTTGGCTTCTGGGAGACTTGAGGAAGAGTAATTCGAGGTGAAAAAGGAGATCATTCCAAACGTTAGTCGAATTCTGTAAATTTTTCCAGTTAAATTTTGATAGTTTAGCTGGAGTTTATCTAAAGTGAATGATTTAACTGGATTCTAACAAAGAACGGTTTCTAACTGGATTCTAACACCAGGAAAGGCTTTTAACTGGATTTTCCCTGTAAACCAGACAAAGCTAGAGCCAGGCCTTGGATCTTCTTTGAGCTGCTTGTCTCTTCCTGGTGCAGCCGAGTCTTAGCTTAGCCTAACTTAAACCCTAGGGTTTTAATAATTTTGTTGGGCTTTTTATAGATTTGTTGATAATCCGTCAATCATTGATCATTGATCATTAATGTCATTGTTGTTTTACCTTCAAAACTCACCCGTATATGGCTAAGACTTGATTTTCACGAATTCATAGGGTGTACTTGACGACGGTGTAGCACCACTGAATCTCAAAAAGTCCCGCTGCAATTGACGCAATGATCCTTGATTCTGAAAATTGAGATTTTTATGGGTGTTGTTTTGAAAGTTTAAAAGCTCGATGCTTAGTTTAAAAGCTAGATGAAATCTCTTTACTTTAAAGCTAAATATTTGAATCATAAAAATACAAATTTAAATGGATAAATCTCCCCTTTAAAGGCTTTTAACTGGATTCCAACACCAGGAAAGGCTTTTAACTGGACTACCATTACAGAAATTCGTTTAAAGTTCTAGCATTAAATTAAAACGAACCAAAGAATGAAACATGCACATGTTCGGTTCCTCATCTTCACCATTTGGACAATCTCGATTTCCATTACACAATTCAACCGCTCTGATACAAGGCCAATCAATTGGAAGATGCGGCTAAAATGGGAACCTTTAAAATATCTATCTTACTCGAGTAATATCGGAACAAGCTATGGTACCCTTCAAAGCACCGCTGATATCTGGCACCACACAACTCACTCTAAGTGAAGGACAAGGAGCCCATTTTTCTGTGGAAAATCTTTCTGCTTGACACACTGAAAGATTATTAGTTTTTGTTTACTTTTAAAATATTAAGCTGAAACTTGTTTCATTTTTAATCGTCTATATTTTAAAGTTAATAAATCTTAAAATATCTCTTATACAAACTCTATAAGATCTTATACAAATAAAATAAACTCTCTTATACAAATTGCTTTTTTAATTTGCTTTAAATTTTAAATTAAAATTGCTCTAAAAACCCACCTCTTAAATTCGTGAAATTCAATAGCTTCTCCTTGTCCTGAAAATTTGAAATCATTCACTTAAAACCTGTGGATTTTACCTTGTAAAAAGAATAAAGCCAGAATCTATTGGTTTTCCATTGGATTTTTTTGCTATTACTAAGCTAATTAAAAATTTGATTTTTAATTAATTTCAATTGTTTTTTGACGTCAGTAATGGAAAGTATAGAAAAAGACAGATGTTATTTTAAAGGAAAACGTCTGGAATGACTTGTGATAAAAAAGGAAAGCTTTCTAATGAGAAAAAGGAAGAGATTATTGCATTGTCACAGATTCAATTTTGAGCCCATACTTTGAAATTCCCATTTATTGGATGGAGGATTGGAGGATGAAAGACCTGGGGATTGTTCCGGTTTTTTTCAAGCTCAGGTTCATTTTTCGTTCGATTAAAGCTAGAGAAATAAAGACGACAAATTAATGCAAATTAAATGCAAAATTAATATCTAATATAATAGATTTTATTAATGCGTTATCGCACTTTATTTCTTTCTGAATAAAGTATTTATATAAATGATTTATCTATAAATGATTTAAGACTATTTTCCCACTCACTCCTAATCGCTTTCCGATTTTCACAAAAAAGTTTATAAAAAAGAGTCGACAAATTGAGTCCAAGTCATTTTCCCTAGCTGATCGTTTTCTTGTTCAGTTTTCTTCACTGAAATCTTATAGAAAAAGCTGTTGGCTTTGAAGTTTTTGAAGAACGTTTTTGGCAAAAAAAGAAGACAAGTTTCATTCATAATAGATTTCTTTGGAGTATTTATACAAGCATATTTGGAATACTAAAGCAAGCAGTGCTTTCAGGAAAAATAAATACATTTTGATGTCATTCTATTTTTACATTGAATTGGCTATTTACTGATTCTATTATCGATATTAGAATAACTCTTGAAAGTTTCAAAAAAGTGATGACACAAAAGACAAAAAAGATGTAATCAAAGATTCTAAAAAAACCGAAGCCAAGCACTTTGGTTGGTTATCAAACACAGAAACCATGGTGAAAAATAGAAAAATTATTAATTTTAAAATAGAATTTTTTGATTTTTTGAAATTTGATTTTTTATTTACTTCATAAACCCCGCATAAAAGCCTCACTGCTCGTCATCGCAGTCTTAAAGCGAAAAGTAAAATCTATTAGCATTTATACTCCTTTTTGGTCCCTAGCTCTCGCTCTTACCAATTCCAAGCGTTCTAATTAAATCTCGCGCCCTAGGGCAATAGCCGTCAATGCCAATGGCTTCATGGTAATAAAAAGGCAAGAACGTGTTATTTGTTCGAAAACCATCAACAATGCGCCAACAACAAAGTTCGGGGATGCCTTAAAATTATTTTACTGAAAAGTCATGTATTAAAGGTAGTGATTATTCCAAAGGTAGTGATTATTCATAATAATTGAAAGATATAAACAAAAAAGCATGAAAACTGAAATGAAGGAGACCGGAGAATGAATGCAAAAGGAGCTGGGAAGACATTCAGATAGGAGCGTCGCAGCCTCTCCCCCTCGATCGATCCCCCGGACCACAATGAATATTTTGTAGAGATAAAGAGATTAAGAGACAAAACTTTAATTGATTCAACCCTGCACAAACCATTAAATTAACAATATCTCTTAAAATTCGCATCAAGAATTACTTATTTCATGAGTTTTCCCTTTCCGATTGATTCTGAAAATCTTTCCCTTGTTAATTCTATATCTAATTAACTTCTTGATCTTAATAATTAGATAAAGAATTTATCATTTTATCTAGATACTCTAGATAATAGATAAAATAGACTTTCAAATCAATTTTAAATCAATTTTTGTTCATTTTCAAGTTTCAGATGGATCGCCAAAAAAGAAATAAAAGGGAAATTAAAAATTGGAGATTAAGCAAAAATAGAGACAAGTTCGCTACATTGAACCGGAAATTCAGGGGGAGGGGACTAATAGAAAATCAGCTGATGGAGAGACGTCTTTGATTCACTAGGATAGTTCTCGAGATGGAGCTCCAATAGATTCATTTCGGGCATTCATTTGGAACAATGGGGGAAACGATGTGAATAAGTTTGATCAGCAAAACATAAAGTACGCTCCACAATTACATGATGGAATGGAGCATAGCGCTGAATGAGACCTATCTATACTTATTAGCCTTATATAGACTGCCGTATCCTGCTATGATTAGAGTTTTCCTCTCTTTCAACAACAACTTTTTATGCCAAATCTAAAAATGCAATAAATGCAAGTGAGCCAAAACACTAAAAACTTTTTTCTTCTTCTTTTCTTTTTCCCAATCGAAGTCGAAGAAAAGAAGGTGAAAAGCGTGTTTTCCCATTGAAGAAGCAATTGTTTTCGGAATGAAATGGAAAACAAAACGAATCTACAAACGAATCTGTTTGTAGTCTTTCATTCTTTCATTCTTTGATTCTTTCTTAACAACAACAATTCATTCTTATTCTTCTTATCATTCAAAAAACCAATATGTTTTTCTTGAAATTTTTGTCATAGACCGGCTAAATTATGTTTTGATTTTTCGCATCGTACGTTTTTAAAGTGGCAAAAATATTTGAAGGTTTAGATATGGCTTTGAAGATGGAGGGTGTTGTAGCTATTGCGGTTTTATTCACGCCAACAGGCAATCATGCAAGTGATGCGCTAAGATACGATATCCCCGACAAGCGTGTAAGTTTTTATTTGCGTTTTTCCAGTAGTTCGATTAGGTGGTCGGGTTTTGAATGCGAATTTTTCGCAAAAATATTTTTTACAAGAGAACGAAGCTATTCAAATTACTCCGGTTGTACCATTAGAAAGGTAAATCTGTGTTCTGGGTTTTTTTGGAGCGATTTTGAAAAGCTTCTGTTTTGAGGATTTTTCGGGACGCAAAGACAAGTATTCAGAATCGTCAAAAATCGAAAATTGCCGACAAATATTTATTTTGGGGAATCTATTTGGAATGTTTTTACTCAACTTTTGAACAACTCATTGCATGTGTCAACAAATTTTCAGCCAAATACGTTTAGCCGTTTCTTTCAGAATGTTTGTTTGAAGCATAAAAAATAAGGATATTTGCTCATTTGAGAGACTTTGTGAACAAATTTGAAACATTTGCAAAAAAAATGCTGGACGGATCAACTGAAAATTTATAAATGCTTCGTCTTTAATTTGAGCAAAAAAATTAATGTTAACTTTCCGTCGAAAGATTGCCAGGAGCGATTTTGACTACTTGTCTTTGGATCCCTGAAAAATTGCCAAAACTGGAGCTTTTTCAAAAACGCTGTATGAATATAACACAGATTTATTGTATAACATCTATAACACAGATTTATTTTTCTAATGGTGCAAACTGGACTAATTGTGATATCTTCGTTCGCTTGGAAAGAATGTTTTTGCCAAAAATCCGCATTCAAAACCCGACAGCCTAATAGTTCTGAAATGAGAAATAGAAAGGTCATTTTTAGATGCAAACGTCAGGCCGGCAAAACACAGATTTCTTTTAACTCTTTTTCTTGTATATTGACATTTTCTTGGTGTTAACGTGCTGTTTCTTTTAAGTGCCTCATGGTTCATTTTTGATCTCAGCGTTTTGCTGGTACCCTAATGAATAATAAATTCAATTTCAATTTTCAATTATTTCGAAAATTTCAATTAAAAATTTGGGTGAACACTTCCAAAGCTATTAAAAAGTATTGTGAAAGAAAAATTATTGTAGACTTACAAAAAAGTTTCACCAGATGGTGGATTTGTTTCCTCCAGCGATATTGGAGAGCGATAACGAGGATTGGCTCGAAGACGATGAAGAATGAAGATGAGTCAAAGGTTGGTTTATCATCGAGTTACAAGTTACATCGAGAGGCTTGTTACAAAAGTTAGTACTTTGTGGGAGGGCACTTTTTCACCAAAAATCATTTTTCCCAGGGTAATTGATGACACTGATCACGAAAGAGTTATTAAGGCTAGTTAGTAATAGAATAATGTCAATTTTTAAAACTCAGTATAGTAGTTGGGTGGCCGACAAAAATCTTTTTCTCCAAATGAGCTGACTTTCCACCCAAGGGTTTTTGACTTTAATATTATAGGTGCCTAAATTTTAGGCAAGTCACTTGCGGTGCGGGAAGCCCAAGTCTAGGAGCCCCAACTACCATAGCACCCACAACAAACCAGTCGTTTTTCTTCATCCAAAAGATTGTGGCGGAGTACTGGTCGAATTGGAGCAGGAATAATTTTCATAACTAGTTTATTACCTTTTCTAGGAGAACTTTTTGTTTAAGTTTGGTGTACTTACTTGTGATTTTGACGATACGGTGAGCTTGCCTTGCATTTTTGCTTTGAACATAGATTTTTATTTTCAGATAAATGGTTTTATACGTAGTTTTTGACATATTGAATTTGTTGTTGAACTGCACATAGCTTTATTAAAATGAAAACGACAAGAAATTTATTATACGGAAATTCTTTAGTCGAAATTTGTATGAGCTGTGAAATATGGAATTTAAGCAACTAAAGCCAACTCCAGAGATAGTTTAAGCAACTCTAAACCCCAAGTTTCTGTAAACTTTTGTATAAGCTCTGTTACCGCACTGAGGTCGATTTTTAGCTATTTTCCGAGTCAGACCGATCCGCAGTTATATCATAAATTATCGTATCGCAGTTAATTAAGATAACGTACCACTAAAACAAACTGTGAAATATGCCACTAATATTCATGTTCAAATAAAAATCCTCTACAAATGCATTTGCATTATTTGTTTATAAGAACAAAAAATACCTATTTTCTGTAATATTATGCGCAATAATATATTAGGTATTTTAGCCTCAGTTTTTGAAATTTTCTATTTGCTGCAAACACTTGAAGTACTCCGTCCCAATCTCGTTCAAACTTACTAATAAAATATTTGTTCAATGGTGTTTTTTGGCACCCCGGGACGATCACCACAAAGCAGAGTGTAATGGAGTACATCGCAGGCACATATCTCTACCGAAGACTCTTTGCGAATCCAAAGTACGGCTAAAAAGTTCTCTTTGTAGGTCAAAATCATGTCCGAAAGTTGCATATAAAATGGCTTTATCTTAACATTTCTCTTCTATCTTAACATTTCTCTTTCAGTTTCTACGGCATCGGCGAGCTCTCGGAGGAGTCAGTTTGTCACTATTTGACGACGACCGTCGACCAAGTTATTGCTGATCTATTGGAAAGCAAATGTATCACGTTGGATGAGCTATGTGCCGCGTTCGTACAACATTTCTACAACATAAGTTGGAGTATCTTGGATTTTTGATTGAAAGTTTAGATGAGGAACATCACGGACAAGCTGAACCAAGATAAGGGACGATTGCGATTAAGAAGTATTAAAATTTGATAATTTCTGTGATAACTCCAACTTTGAGCTCAAATATCTTAATATCTTAATAAAAATAGAAATTCTGACAACTGAAAAATTCGCCTGTCTGGAAAAAAGATATTACACTTCGAAATTTGCTAAACTCGAAGCTGCAAGACCCTTGTGCATGACGTGTTCTTTAAAGTGCATTCTATTCGATACCCATCCCCTTTTGCACCCCAACTTTGAGCTCAAATATCTTAATGTTGGACTAGTCAATTTAAATATTCTGAATATCATCGGATGCATATGTAGATCGAATTGCCATTCCTCCTTTTTCCTGTCCCGCTTACCGTACCTTCCCCATTCATGTCTTTTCTTGGCTCCGCGTCACCTGCTTTCCTTCAGCAATGGGCAACCTTCATATCTTATGTGGTATCTGTCTGTTTGTATCCTGTTTTTTCGGTGTCCTCTCATTTTTTCGAAAAAAAAATCCGAAAAAGAGTCAATCCAAGCACGTCACGATTGACGTCACGTCAATCTTCAATTTTCACGTCAATCCAAGCACTCCTTTCACTAATCTTTTCCAAACGATTCTGCAATCGATCCTTTTTAATTAAAATTTTAGGGATTTCTTCGATTCGTTTCTTATCAGTGTATTTTTGAAAAGAAAAGGTCAAGATTCAATGAAATTGGTCCAAGAAGAGAAATTAACGAGCGAACACAAAGAATGGAACCACAACATCTCGGTCTAGCAATGATACATCAACGCGATCAGGTGAGAAGAAATATGATTTAACAAACAAATCATATACCTTTATCTATCTTTATGTCTACCACTACCAGCTAGCTGCTTACAGTTTGTTTCCGGGAGAGCCTTTGTGACGAGATTTACTAGTATATAAGAATCAAGAATTTATTAAGAACACGTCTTATATCCTGGCCTGCGTCTGGTTTAATTTAGATCAGCTTACAAGGGTTAGAAGATTTCTTATGCTTGCTATGAAAACAAACAGGAACGAAACGACTTGACTTGTGTGCTTTTTGAAAATCTGTTATTGTCTCAAAACTCGTTAAAGATTGGCCCCATTCGCCAAATTCGTCCATGTCTCCGCCTCAATTCGATCGATGATCGTCCACTTCCGCTACATCTCGGGGTAATAAAGCTTTTCCTGAATTCATAAATTCCAGATTTTTCCTGTGATAAAGCAAGATTCCGTTTCAGATGTACGAAGCGGGACAACGACCTCGAGTCTCGAGGAATCGGACAATAAGTGGTGCGTGCTTTGAAGAAAAAGAATCAGGAAGGGCTGATCTTTAAAGGATCCTTTTTCCATTTCTCCATGAAATGCTAATCATTTGACATTTACCATTTGAGAAAAACCAGCTTGTTTTTCAATTTTACTCGGAAAATATTTGATTTTTTCGATCAAAAGGTTTGATTTCGAATCAAATGTTTATTATGGTAGTTTTTAAAAACAACACACTTAACTAAAATATTGTAAAAAGGAGCTCTAGGTCAAAAAAAGCAAAATGATCTAAATCTTTAAAGATAATCAATGACTTTTGCAGTCCTTCTTATAGAATCAGAGGAAAAGTTTTGAAAAACTACAGAAACAGTTTAAGAACAAGCATTAAGAACAAAAGCTAGAAGAAAAGGATAAGGTTGTAGAGTTGACATTTAGAATATAAGTCCACTTGAGCTAGAGATCTATGACCACACATTTCAGAATCGGTGCTTGGCCCTCACAATTCATTGCACGGAATCGGGGCAAACAATCGATCGAATCCCATTCATCGGACACCGCGACAACAGCAACAACTCCAGCCACCGCCAACCGTTCATCTGCCAATGCACAGCCCACAGCATGTTCGTTTTTGAAAACATTAATCTCTATACAATATTGAACTCGTCTTTCATGGTGATCTTTTTCTTCTCGGTTCAAAGTCTCTCGCCCTTGTTATCTTTTCCTTACAATTATTATCGTGCTTGAGATGTACCCAGTGTCCTCAATTCTTCCTCCATTTTTTCCCTCCATTGGAAATTAGTTCCCTGGAAACAATTCATCTATTGCGTGCAAACTTTAATCTCTTAGAACAGAAATGGAGGGATATATGCTTTGGGGTTGATAGATTGACGAGTAAATAGTAAATACTGTAATAGTACCACAACCCCAGAATGACAGTGCGGAGTGTTTAGTCTGTGCGGAGTGTTGCATAGTCTAGCTTTAAAGGAATGTGTATTTTTTGATCATTCTATCCCATTGCATTATCAGACTTGCGTTTTATAGTAAAAGCTATTTTCGGACATCAGCGATAAGTACAATTACTGTTTTAATCCCCAAATTTCGGTTAAAATACAAAGGAAAACCAAGAGCTTATGCCGACAAAAACATTGCATTGTGATCCGGTGGAAACCAGTAATCAAATCACTTCACCATTTCCCCAAGACGATGATAGATAAAGCATTGATATTAATCCAAAACCTCTTTGCTCACCTCTTTTTTGCTCATTGACCAAAATGTTAAACGAACGGCTTAGACGTTTTGGCTTAGACGACGATGAATATTTGCATATTTTATCTTCTAAAATTTCAGCTGGCCGCCTCGTACTACTGTGCAGACAAGTTGACCTTGCAAGGAAAACCGATTCCCGGAAACAGCTCTTCAGGTGAGGTGTTCAAGAGGGCAATTGGGAAGCAGGTAAACAGGAAAGGAGCAGGGACACGAAACGAGCGGAAAGTTAGCTCAAACCGGCGCTGTTTTTATGATCTGAAACCGGTGTCTAGAGAAAGCATTGGTTTGGCTGCCAGCCAGCTTAATACAATTAAGAATTCTTTTGTACTTTTGCATAAATCCAGGTTTGAATCTAGTAGAATGATTCCATGATCTAAAAGATTTCTAATAGGGAAAGATTGGCAGAAGAGAAGAGGGAAAGTTTGGCTGGCAGCCAGCTAGTCGGAGTCGGGTGAGCTGGCTGGCTAGGCTCAGAGAGTCTGCCTGCCGAGTCTAGGCTCGAGAATTTTTCAGATTTCAAATGATCTAAGCTAGAAGCTTTAGGTGGTTCAGGCCACTCAGGCTCACCCGCCGGACTCCCGGAGGCGCAGCAACAATTCCGCGAAGTCTTCACCTCGCCAGCTCCCTGCTCATCGGAGATGGATCAATTGGTAAACTTGCGCCGGGGATATAAATATAACTCTCTGATATACCTAAAAGATTATTATTGTTTGCAGGTATGTGGCTCGTCAAAGGATCCATTCCCAGTGCCGATAATCCGGATTTCTACCGTGAAAAGAAGGACATTCACAATAGGAGTGAGTCCATTTCCCATTTCATTCATAATTATGAATCAAATCAGAAGTTTTTCAGAGGTTTTTCTAAAACCTATTAAACGAGTTTTTCAGTTGAACGACGTCGTCGCAAGTTTCAGTTGAATATTAACGACCGAATCAACTAATTAGGGCTTTTGTTGCCTAAATGAGCCTCCAAGTGAGTTAAAATCAAATTTACAAAAAAAAACGCTAAATATTTACTTCGCGTTGTCACGAGCCAAATTTAGAGAGATGAAGCTGAACAAAGGGACGATCCTCAAAGCATCTTGTGACTACATTCGACAATTGCAAAAGGATCGAGATGTAAGTGAAAAGAAAAAACTTTTATGCAAAGAAGAGCTTTCAGAGCATGATTAAACAACAGCAACAACAAAACAAATTGGAAAACGCTGCGAAACACTACGCCGATCGAGTCAGGGTGAGTGAGGGAAATGGCTGGGCTTGGCTTGGCTTGGATTGGCTTCACTATTCAATTCAATGCTTCTTCAGCTACAGTACTGGACAATGAAATATCATATTTGAAAAATGCGTCACCTTCGCGCGCGTCTGTAACTCCCTTGTTTTTGAGTTTAAACTATTAGTGTTACACATTTTCTGAAAGCTCTTTTCAAGGGCTACACAATGATAATATTAATATTTAGGAATACGGTAAAGACAAGGGAGTTACAGACGCGCGAAAGTGACGATCTTTTTTAAAACATGAGATTTCATTGGCCAGTAGCGTAGATACCCGTTAAACCATTCTACTAAATAAAGATAGATAAAAGATACGCATTCTATGCACTCAATTCTAAGAACTCGAGGACATCTTGGCGAAGAATGGCCTCAACGCGCCCACCAAAGCGCTTCCTCCACTCCCAGCCATCCCCTCCGCTCCTCGACCAATCAAACAGGAGATCGAAGAGAGTCGAAATCAAACCCCATGGGATCACTTGTAAGTGATCGCTCAACTCTTCTCTTGCGAGAAGACTCACAATCAATCGACTCCCGATTGGGTACTAAAAAATCAGCAATTCTTTTCGGAAACTAGTACTAGGACCCCTAAATTTATGTTCTTTATTTTGCTCTTATTCTCTATTTTTTAGTCCTCATCGGGTTTTATGTCACAGCTCTCTGACACGACGGCTGCGATCGCCTCCCCACTAGGATGGATCCATTATGGATCCGATCAATTCTTTGGCTCAAGTCCACAAGATTATCAGACGCCACAATGGAGGTGGAGAAGTTATAGGTATATCAAGCAAAACTTTGTCTAATTATATTCTATTGATTGTTTACAGTATTCAGCTAAAGTTAGTGTCAAATAGAAGCAGAAAATGGTCGAATTTGGTTGCAAAGTAGAAGCTACAGTAGCTTATTGTAGAAGTAGAAGCAAAGTAGTAGAAGTAGAAGTAGAAGCAATTCAATACATTCAATATCTTACAGCCCCGACAGTCAAAGGATGCACCACGGGCCATTCCCCGATTTGATCACGGAGTGGTGTCTTGAGGTAGGATTGAGATATAGATAAAACAATATATCATTCTATTTAAATCTAAACCCTAATATCTAAATCCTAAGATCTACATTTAAATATGAAATATCTAATATGCTCTGCATACAGAACAATCCACTCCTCCACTCGGACCCGTTAATGTCACAAGCCGGAGGCCCATCGTCAAACCTTGCCGTCAGCCAGATGAGCCATGGTCTCTCGTGGAATCCCACAAATTTCAGGTACGATGAAGAGAAAATGGAGTATGTTGTATGCAATATAGAAACATGCGATACTTTGCTCCCTAGAAGTCGAAAATCTTGATTAAGCCTTGTTTAGATTATCCTAAGCTACCTGAAGATGAGCACCTACCATTGGCTGTACAGTCAATAGCGTTTAAGTCCAAGGGTACTGTACTGTAGTTAGAAATTCTGTAGCCTTAGAGTACTGTAGTCCGAAACCCTGTAGCCGAATATTTCTTACGCTATGTTTCTACAGCATGTTTAGAAGTTGTTTCCAGGGCACTTGGGGGCAAGTGTCAAGCTGTTTAGAAGATATCTGATATTTAAATTCTACCCTATCTGAATTCCTCAATTTTTAGTCCCGACCCGAACACCGTATCGATGCACGCCAATCACAATATGGACTATTCATGAAGAACTCCGCTTGCCAGTTAAACATCCAACAAACGCTTGTACATAAGTGTGTCCAGTTTCATTCAAAGATTCGATACGCATTTTCGTTCCCAATACTAAGCTGAAACTTGTTTCATTTTTACTCGCCTATATTTTAAAGTTAATAAATCTTAAAATATCTCTTATACAAACTCTATAAGATCTTATACAAATAAAATAAACTCTCTTATACAAATTGCTTTTTAAATTTGCTTTAAATTTTAAATTAAAATTGCTCTAAAAACCTTGGATTTTACCTTGTAAAAAGAATAAAGTCAAAATCTACTGGCTTTCCATTGGATTTTTTTGTGATTTCGATATAGACACTTTTCTAACATCTTCCCTCTCATTCTCTTCCATTCTCGATCGCGCCGATGCACGCCAATCACAATATGGACTATTCATGAAGAACTCTGCTTGCCATTTAAACATCCAACAAACGCTTGTACAGCAGGTGACCTCTAGAAAGAAAATTAGTGAGAAGAATGAATAAACGTAGGTCTATGCAAAGGTTGAAAAAAATTGGATGGAGTCGAACTTCTCCATGTGATAGATTTCAATGATTTGGATATCAATAAAAGCATTCTTTGGTGAATGATAATGTTTTAAATTTCGTTGACTGTTGTTGTAGCAAAATAGTCAAATAAATTAGTATAAAACTTCTAACTACCGTTACCAGTTTTCCCTTTAGCTCAATTTTAGTCTGATTTTTTGAGGCTTGTGATTTGCAGATTGAATTTGACTAAAATTGAGCTGATCAATTGAAAGCTATCAGTTTGAAGACATTAATTTTCAAAACTAGAGGACCTCGAGAAATGAAATTAGTGAGAGAAGACTCTAGTACAAGAAGAAGTACAAGTACAAGCTACGAAGCTGAAGCATGGATAAAAGTAAGTTTATGCAGACCTTGACAAAGATTGGATGGAGTCGAACTTCTCCAGGAAATAGAATTCAATGATCTGGATACCAATGAAAGCATTCTTTGGTGAATAATAATGTTTTAAATTTGATTGACTGTTTTTGTAGCAAAACAGTCAAATAAATTGGCGTAAAACTTCTAATATAGCTAATGTACTGAACTCTATATACAGTGTTGTGAAATAAAGAAAAGAATCGCATGGATGAATGGATTGGGGAAGGAGGGAAGGGAAGCGAAGAGAGGGAAGACGAGGGAAGATGAGGAAAAAGCAAGAAAGGGAAGAGGAGCGAAGGGAAGGGATGAGACAAGCGAGTGCCTATATAGAATTCAGAATTGGGGAACGGGGGTGAATGCGAATCAATTGGGACGTTTAGACCGGCTGAAAGGACAGACAAACGAATGAAATATGATTGCATGAATATGATTGCAGACTTTGCCTGTCTCTCCGCCCGGCCTCATCGTCTCTTTCACACAAAGCAATTTTAATAGAAACATAGAAAGTTTACAGTTTGAAATCAGTGCCAAACGCGTTAGATGCAGAATCTTTCTATAGCTCTTCTTTCTATAGCTGTAAATTTGCCTTCAGCTTCATTTTGTGCTCGTAAACGCACTACTTCTCGTGCACTAGTCTTCTTGCGAAAACGAGCAGTTTATAGAACAAAAAAACTATGAAGAATTCGCTGTGCCAGAAGGTGTACGTTTGCAATTTTCGAAAGAGTAAAGTCGAAATCCCAAATCACCTTCACACCTTTAAAAAAATGAAAAAATGAAAAGAAAATGAAAAGAAAAATGAAATGAAAAATGAAAAGAAAAATGAAAAGAAAAATGAAAAGAAAATGAAAAGAAACTCGAAAAAGAAACGTATGCGCCTATTAGAAATTTCTCAGCTTTTTTTTAATGTATCAGAGAAGAAATTTTTGTATAAAAGGAATAATTTACGAATAGTAAAATGAATTTTGAAATAGAACAGCAAATTCACGGGATAGAATGTACATGGTTTTGTTGTTCTTGCTTTTGATGATGATGAACTGATTCGAAAGGGATTTATCGAAAAAGGAATTTCGGAAATAAACACACTGGGAATCGACGGACAGGCCACAAATAGCATATCATATGTAGTTGATAGCGAAATTACACTGTGGTGCAAAAGTCCTGACCGGTCGCACTGTCCTATCAAGTCTGAACCATTTCGCCAGAAAAAGAACGTTAAAATTTTATGGTAAAAACGTTTTTGGATAGCTTAAACCTTCTACTTTTATAATCCAAAGAATGAAAGCAATAACATTTTATTTAACAAAAATTTTTGACAATATTCCGAAACGACCCCAAAAACGAGCAGTTTATAGAACAAAAAAACTATGAAGAATTCGCTGTGCCAGAAGGTGTACGTTTGCAATTTTCGAAAGAGTAAAGTCGAAATCCCAAATCACCTTCACACCTTTAAAAAAATGAAAAAATGAAAAGAAAATGAAAAGAAAAATGAAATGAAAAATGAAAAGAAAAATGAAAAGAAAAATGAAAAGAAACTCGAAAAAGAAACATATGCGCCTATTAGAAATTTCTCAGCTTTTTTTTGAACGTATCAGAGAAGAAATTTTTTTGGTATTTCTTGTCTTTCTGCATAAACTTTTTGGTTCTAATTTTATTTTTTTGAGATGCCAGGACGATATCTATCAACGCCTGACAAAGAGAAAATTGTCGAGAATCGAACAAAAGGCGTTCGCGTGAATAATGTGATGGAAACGCTCAAGTGTTCTCAAAAAACAGTGAGACGTCTCGTGGCGCAATTCAAATCAAAAGGAAACGTTCATAGAGCCCCAAAAAGAGGTCGACTACCAATTACAACACCAAATGAGGATCGTTCGATCATCAGGGAGCACCGAATAAACCCTAATCTAACGTCTAGCCATGGGATCAAGAAGTTGAAGGCTGTTTCTGGCAAGGATATTTCCCGATGGAGTCTCAATAGGCGATTGATTCGAGCTGAATTACATGCGAGAAGACCAGCGAAACGACCCTTGACGAATGCGAGAACTCGGAAGCTAAGATATGCTTTTGCAAAGAACTACGAGTTTTGGACTTCCGATGATTGGGCCCGAGTCATTTTCACCGATGAGACTAAAATTAATTTGTACTACCCGGACGGCAACCATTTAATCAGAAGGCCAATTGGACAACGTTATAAGCTCAAATACGTTAAACCAACGGTCAAATTCGGCGGTGGGAGCATTATGTTGTGGGGTAAGTGTTCGCCTTACTTTTTACTTACAATCTGTCTTCTTTAGGCTCGATGAACCGAGGTCTACCGGGGTCCCTAGTGCTTATCAATGGAACTCTTGATGCTCAGGGGTACGAGTCGATCATGGAGAACAACCAACTTCCATTTGCCAACGCAAACATGCCACAAGGATGGGCCTTATATCAAGACAACGCCCCATGCCACAAAAGCCAATTACTGATGGGTCGAGTTGTCCGGCTTACAAATGGAGGTAAAGTTTGCCTGCCCGGCTTTTTTGCTGCTCATCGTGTGGAATTGATCAAAGCACCTCCCTATTCGCCGGATCTGAACGTTATAGAGCATCTTTGGGCCCATTTAAAAGCCAAACTCAAGGGACGCCGGTTCAACTCAAAGGTCAATGCTTATTTCTTTATCAGAAATGTTTGGAGACAACTTTCCTTGGGAATTCTACGTGATTTGGTCGACTCGATGCCTAGACGCATCTAGGCAGTCATTGTCGCAAAAGGAGGACCTACGAAGTATTGAATTTTCTTGTGTTTTCTTGTACCGGTCAAGACTTTTGCACCATGTTTTTTTGAGTCGTTTCGGAATATTGTCAAAATTTTTGTTAAATAAAATGTTATTGCTTTCATTCTTTGGATTATAAAAGTAGAAGGTTTAATCTATCCAAAAACGTTTTTACCATAAAATTTTAACGTTCTTTTTCTGGCGAAATGGTTCAGACTTGATAGGACAGTGCGACCGGTCAGGACTTTTGCACCACAGTGTATAAGTATAACGAAAATTGATTGGTGATTGGATGGATTAGGTCAGCTTAGGTCAAACAGATCAGGATTACGGTAGACTAGGCTGGAGCTAGACTAGGCTGCTGGAGCTAGACTAGGCTGGAGCCAGACTAGGCTGCTGAAGCTAGACTAGGCTACTGGAGCCAGACTAGGCTGCTGGAGCTAGACTAGGCTCCTGGAGCCTGACTAGGCTGGAGCTAGACTAGGCTGCTGGAGCTAGACTAGGCTGGAGCCAGACTAGGCTGCTGGAGCTAGACTAGGCTGCTGGAGCTAGACTAGGCTGCTGGAGCCTGACTAGGCTGGAGCTAGACTAGGCTGCTGGAGCCTGAGCTGGAGCTAGACTAGGCTGGAGCTAGACTAGACTCCAATGCTTCAATGGAGCCAGACTAGCCTCCAATGCTTCAATGGAGTCGGACTAAAATCCTAGGCTAAGCCAGGCTTCAATTAAACATCTGTTAACTTGTATGGAAATTTGAGATATCCAATGATAGATGTGAGGATGATTTTTTCAATCGATCTAGAGGTGCCAATCAAATCAAATGAACCAATCAAATGAATCAAAATAATGACAAAAGAAATGAAAAAGAAATAAAATCGTTCCTGTTGATTGTGGACCCGAGAGAGAATGGTGGGAGAAAGGGAAGAAATGGCTCAATCGGTGGGAAAACAACCCGAGTTCGGGTCCCTGAGTGAGTCTGAGTCTTTTAAACTGAATGCTGAGCCATTCCATATCCCGTTTCTTCACTTTGTCGAAATTTTCTTCGACACAAGTTGTACACATTTCAATGGGTTTCACCTTTAAAAAAGGGGAAACACACCGGATTTACAAAGGGGGTTTTTCAGTGATCAAATAGAAACGATATGAAGAAAGAAACGAAAATGGTTTACAAATATTTGAATGAAACTGGATACACATATGTACAAGTCGTTTGTTGTATATCTGAATAGCGAGTTCTTTATGAATAGTCCATATTGTGATTGGCGTGCATCGGCTGGGTGTTCCCGTAGGAGCTGAAAATCGAAAAGCGGTCGGATTTATGGAAAGCTATGGAAAATAGGGCGAGTCTTGTTCACAGTTGAAATCTTGGCGAAATTGTTGTTTACAGGGACTGGGCGCCATTTGTTCACAGTTGACTTCTAGGGGCGATTGTCGTTCATCTTGCTTGCTTGCTCATAGTTGACAACTAGGCGCCTTTGCTTTTCACAGTTGACATCTAGGCGTTATTATTGTTCACAGTGGACAGCTATGCGCCATTAGTTCACAGTTGACAACCAGGCGCCTAGTGGTTCACAGTGAACAACTAAAGATAGAAAGATAGAAAGATATAGAAATACATGATTTACTGAAGGGCCTTACTCGGAAGCGTCTTTTCTTAATGTAATCTTAATGTAATCGCCGTATGCTTGACGAGGTCAACATTTGGTCGCACATATTTTTTCTGCCAATAAACCCAATCAATAATGCAAAATTGCTCAATTTCCAATTTCCATTCAATTATTGTGAACTATTGGCAGAGCCTTTGGCAGAAATAGCCTCGTCTCCTCCCCTGGGCAAGCAGATGTCAAATAATGTATCAATCGGTAGCGATATCAAAGAAAAGATCATTCATTCTCTTCATTTGTCACTTTCAAAATCTGCTCTCTTTACCTATTTTTCAAAATTGCTCAATTTCCCATTTTCCATTCAATTTTCCATTCGTGCCAGGAATGTTCCCATTCATCCTTAAGAAATCAAAGGATGAATGGGAACATTCCTTGCACGCAAGGAATATTCCCATTTCTTCTTTGAGTCCTTAATTGAATTGATCTAAAATTGAATTAAAAATTCAAAGTATTTTTAAACGTTAGTCGAATTTTGTCAGATTGACCAAGCTTACGCTATTAAGGTCAAGATTCAATGAAATTGGTCCAAGAAGAGAAATTAACGAGCGAACACAAAGAATGGAACCACAACATCTCGGTCTAGCAATGATACATCAACGCGATCAGGTGAGAAGAAATATGATTTAACAAACAAATCATATCCTTTATCTATCTTTATGTCTACCACTACCAGCTAGCTGCTTACAGTTTGTTTCCGGGAGAGCCTTTGTGACGAGATTTACTAGTATATAAGAATCAAGAATTTATTAAGAACGCTTCTGATATCCTGGTCTGCGTCTGGTTTAATTTAAATCAGCCTACAAGAGTTAGAAGATTGCTTATGCTTGCTATGAAAACAAACAGGAACGAAACGACTTGACTTGGGTGCTTTTTGAAAATCTGTTATTGTCATAATTCAACAATTTCTCTTTAGTTTTCCCCGCAGGCCGTTACGGGCGAGAGTGCATGCCCATTTGCAATTGTCACAATGGGGCCAAGTGTACTCCAGTAGATCGAAGGTAATCTTTCACAGATGTTATTAAGAATTTATCGATAATAATAAAGCAGCTTTAAAGCAGTTTTCTGAAGAGATTTTTAGTCATAAAGTCTTGAATATAAAGCATAGACATTAGATATTTAGGCTAGATATTCTTTTTAGATTTAAATTATACCTTAATTATTTAAATTATATTATATTATTTAATAAATTCTACTTCAAAGTCCGGCAGTTTTCAATTCACCACCCCAGTATCCGGTACGTAATTACGGAAATTACGTCTATTGTTATTAAAAAGTTGTCTGTGATATTAACCTCAGTGCAATAAATTTATTAGAAAAAATTAAAGCTTCTTCATGCGTCGTCGTCCGTTCGAATGTTCACATTTATCGACCGTGTCGAATTGGCTGAAAGAAAAGGTTTTGAAAAGAAAAAAGATTTGATAGAGTACCAAAATCTGGGTGGTAGACAGTTTTTCTTTATCTAACAATGAGGAGCCTTCAACTTGATTTCTTTAGCAAAATTTCAAATAATCATTTGTTGCTGTGGATTTTTCCACGTAATCTCAAGCAATCAAATGTAAATTTTCACCAGAAACGTTTATAAATAAGATGAATTGAATCAGAACAAAGCAGAAGTTATTCAATTCGGATTTCAACGGGTCTTATTCATCTTTCAATTCAATTCAATTCCGATCTGAGTCCTTTTTGATCCGAATTTAATAAGATCTGATCGATCCAAGTGCTTTTCTGTTTGGGTTGAGAATGCAAAACAGAACTTACACATTGCTCGAAGACTGCTGGTCAAGCGGATCTCCCAAACTCAGTTTCACTTTGCTGTAGAAAGGGCGATCATTTGGAGTCGAAAACAAAATAGTAACACGCTCTTTGCTCTCCCTAAAAGAAGAAAAATAAAATTTGTTTTTTTCTGCTGATTGTGCCGATTACTAGGATTTCTAAACTCAAATTTAAATAGATCCAAAATTTTCAACTCATTTACCGATTCTCCGCATGTGTAGTTGACCCTGAGATAGAATTCCATGCTTGGGCTCCAGTCGGAATCGTCATGAGTTAGTAGAGTGCAACTCGCTGAAACGTTTTGATATTCTCGAGACAGTACTTCATTTTTTGCAGACTTTATTGTATTAAGTTGGCCGACAAGTCTTTAGACACCATTTAAAAAGCTATTTAGAAAGAAACAATTCACTTTTTACTTCACGATTTGCTCCATAAGAAAGGCTTGATATTTTTCTATAAAATATTGTTGAAATCTTAAGAAATGTTTTGTTTCTGGTTTTTTTTTGTTCTGAGGTGTGAACTTGGCCAAAGCGAGGACTCGATAGCGCGATTCAGACACTTTCGTCCAAAGAAATCTATTTTGATGCCAATAGAAAAAAAAGAGCGCAAAAAGTTAGATTTATAGCCAAATTTTCAGAACAATCTGTTCAGCCAATTCCTATTTTTAGCCAATTTATATCACTTTTATCAAATTTTAGCAAAAACGAGTTTTTGCGCTCGGATTCTCTTAGAAATGGGCCCAGATTGGCATAAAAAAAGATAGAAAAGTGTATAATATTTTCTATTTATGCAACTCCAGCTGTTAATCGGTTGATAATCAAAGTTCATCTACACTTTATTCATCTCCAATTTCTAGGCGCTGAGGTCCCGAGATTCCATGGGATTCGCTCTACAGATGCCCATCAACCGAGCAAATCCCGTCACATCCGTATTCACGGAAAACCCCGACGATGTGCTCCAATTGACAGCCAGTTCTAAACCGAATTCAAACAAAATCCTTCACATTTCCAACTTGTTTCCTTAAAATCATCAATCAAATGGTCTGCTGGTTAAGCTTACTCACTTTCAAGCCTAATTCTTGAGTCCAACATCATTCATTTCAATCTGTGTCTTCTCATCTTGTTCCAATTTGCCTTAGACAAAGTCCTTACAAAGTCCCACTCCTCGTCTAGTCCAATTTTACAATCCACTTTAATCAAATTGTTATTTTCTTCTAGAACATTGTCAATTTTACTTGATATTCAAAATATCTCATCTTTGTTTTAAAATTTCTCTAAAGAATCCACAGCCTGTGCGGGTTTTTTATACTTTTCCGTTTTCCACTAAAAGAAAAGTGATGTTTTTGGGATCGTTGGGGTTTTGAAATAAAAAATTAAAAGAAAATCGTTGACAGGACCAGCAACAAGTGCAGAATGACAAGGAAAACTTCTTCTTTGCAACTAAAACAAATTTGATTAAGCCAAGAAGCGTTTACGAGTTTTGTAAAACAAAAGAAATCCGGTGATTATCTTGGTACTCGATGGTATTTGAAAAATCGACGTACATTAGCTATATTAGAAGTTTTACGCCAATTTATTTGACTGTTTTGCTACAAAAACAGTCAATCAAATTTAAAACATTATCATTCACCAAAGAATGCTTTCATTGGTATCCAGATTGAATTCTATTCCCTGGAGAAGTTCGACTCCATCTTTGTCAACCTTTGCATAAACTTACTCTTATCCATTCTTCAGCTTCGTAGCTTGTACTTGTACTTCTTCTTGTACTAGAGTCTTCTCTCACTAATTTCTTTTCTAGAGGTCACCTAGTTTGACTATTCTATCACATGGAGAAGTTCGACTCCATCCAATTTTTGTCAACCTTTGCATAGACCTACGTTTATTCATTCTTCAGCATCGTAGCTTGTAATGGAGTCTTCTCTCACTAATTTTCTTTCTAGAGGTCACCTAGTTTTGAAAATGACCGTCTTTGAACGTTCAGCTTTCAATTGATCAGCTTAATTTTAGTCAAATTCAATCTGCAAATCACAAGCCTCAAAAAAAAATCAAAAAAAAATCAGACTAAAATTGGGCTAAAGGGAAAACTGGTAACGGTAGTTAGAAGTTTTATACTAATTTATTTGACTATTTTGCTACACCAACAGTCAACCAAATTTAAAACATTATCATTCACCAAAGAATGCTTTCATTGATATCCAAATCATTGAATTCTATCACATGGAGAAGTTCGACTCCATCCAATTTTTGTCAACCTTTGCATAGACCTACGTTTATTGATTCTTCTCACTAATTTCTTTTCTCGAGGTCCTCTAGTTTTGAAAATGACTGTCTTCAAACGTTCAGCTTTCAATTGATCAGCTTAATTTTAGTCAAATTCAATCTGCAAATCACAAGCCTCAAAAACTTCAGGTGTTTGTAGCAAATAGAAAATTTCAAAAACTGAGGCTAAAATTTCAATGTTGAGGGCTTCGAATTCAAAAATTTGGAGCTGGTTTAATTTCTGTTTGTCTGTTTAATTGTTAATTTTCATTGGATCAAACCACTCAGAAAGCTTACCATAATACCTTTATAATGACTTTGATAATAAAAATTGCTTGACAAAGATATCTGGCCACAGCACATCCCACAAAGATATAGGAGCTCTACATGGAAAGATTTAACGCCTAACAAGCAGCTGACATAGCTAACAAGCAGCTGTCACACCTAAGAAGCAGCTGACATTTAAGTCTCGTCGTCTTTCGAGATTTCGAAAATAAAAAAAATCTTTTCTAGCTTACTTAAGCTAGCAATAATGACGAAATAATCAAAATAGACTCAATTCTTGTTTCAAAGTCAAAGTTGTTTACAAAGAAGTTGTGTTCTTCAAGTATATTTTGTGCTCAAACACACTCTTTCTAGTCCATTTCTGAAGTTCTTTTATATATGTTTCGTATTCGGACAATGAATGATTAACATTTGCATTTGTTCAGCGAGAAAGTGATGAATCAATAAAAAGAGAGAAATCGACAATTCCAAAAATCTTTTTGTGCAGAGAGAAAGAAAATTCGACAACAATTCTATGAATTCTAGTAAGAGAGCCGATTTCGAGTAACGGGGTCTGTCTCGCTATGTGGAAGGACCGTATGCCAGATGGGGTCGGAAAATGTAGCTGACGATGAAATCTTGTGGGGGATTTCAGTGTTGAGCTTCTGGGAAGACTTGAGGAAGAGTAATTCGAGGTGAAAAAGGAGATCATTCCAAACGTTAGTCGAATTCTGTAAATTTTTCCAGTTAAATTTTGATAGTTTAGCTGGAGTTTATCTAAAGTGAATGATTTAACTGGATTCTAACAAGGAACGGTTTCTAACTGGATTCTAACACCAGGAAAGGCTTTTAACTGGATTTTCCCTGTAAACCAGACAAAGCTAGAGCCAGGCCTTGGATCTTCTTTGAGCTGCTTGTCTCTTCCTGGTGCAGCCGAGTCTTAGCTTAGCCTAACTTAAACCCTAGGGTTTTAATAATTTTGTTGGGCTTTTTATAGATTTGTTGATAATCCGTCAATCATTGATCATTGATCATTAATGTCATTGTTGTTTTACCTTCAAAACTCACCCGTATATGGCTAAGACTTGATTTTCACGAATTCATAGGGTGTACTTGACGGTGTAGCACCACTGAATCTCAAAAAGTCCCGCTGCAATTGACGCAATGATCCTTGATTCTGAAAATTGAGATTTTTATGGGTGTTGTTTTGAAAGTTTAAAAGCTCGATGCTTAGTTTAAAAGCTAGATGAAATCTCTTTACTTTAAAGCTAAATATTTGAATCATAAAAATACAAATTTAAATGGATAAATCTCCCCTTTAAAGGCTTTTAACTGGATTCCAACACCAGGAAAGGCTTTTAACTGGACTACCATTACAGAAATTCGTTTAAAGTTCTAGCATTAAATTAAAACGAACCAAAGAATGAAACATGCACATGTTCGGTTCCTCATCTTCACCATTTGGACAATCTCGATTTCCATTACACAATTCAACCGCTCTGATACAAGGCCAATCAATTGGAAGATGCGGCTAAAATGGGAACCTTTAAAATATCTATCTTACTCGAGTAATATCGGAACAAGCTATGGTACCCTTCAAAGCACCGCTGATATCTGGCACCACACAACTCACTCTAAGTGAAGGACAAGGAGCCCATTTTTTCTGTGGAAAATCTTTCTGCTTGACACACTGAAAGATTATTAGTTTTTGTTTACTTTTAAAATATTAAGCTGAAACTTGTTTCATTTTTAATCGTCTATATTTTAAAGTTAATAAATCTTAAAATATCTCTTATACAAACTCTATAAGATCTTATACAAATAAAATAAACTCTCTTATACAAATTGCTTTTTTAATTTGCTTTAAATTTTAAATTAAAATTGCTCTAAAAACCCACCTCTTAAATTCGTGAAATTCAATAGCTTCTCCTTGTCCTGAAAATTTGAAATCATTCACTTAAAACCTGTGGATTTTACCTTGTAAAAAGAATAAAGCCAGAATCTATTGGTTTTCCATTGGATTTTTTTGCTATTACTAAGCTAATTAAAAATTTGATTTTTAATTAATTTCAATTGTTTTTTGACGTCAGTAATGGAAAGTATAGAAAAAGACAGATGTTATTTTAAAGGAAAACGTCTGGAATGACTTGTGATAAAAAAGGAAAGCTTTCTAATGAGAAAAAGGAAGAGATTATTGCATTGTCACAGATTCAATTTTGAGCCCATACTTTGAAATTCCCATTTATTGGATAGAGGATTGGAGGATGAAAGACCTGGGGATTGTTCCGGTTTTTTTCAAGCTCAGGTTCATTTTTCGTTCGATTAAAGCTAGAGAAATAAAGACGACAAATTAATGCAAATTAAATGCAAAATTAATATCTAATATAATAGATTTTATTAATGCGTTATCGCACTTTATTTCTTTCTGAATAAAGTATTTATATAAATGATTTATCTATAAATGATTTAAGACTATTTTCCCACTCACTCCTAATCGCTTTCCGATTTTCACAAAAAAGTTTATAAAAAAGAGTCGACAAATTGAGTCCAAGTCATTTTCCCTAGCTGATCGTTTTCTTGTTCAGTTTTCTTCACTGAAATCTTATAGAAAAAGCTGTTGGCTTTGAAGTTTTTGAAGAACGTTTTTGGCAAAAAAGAAGACAAGTTTCATTCATAATAGATTTCTTTGGAGTATTTATACAAGCATATTTGGAATACTAAAGCAAGCAGTGCTTTCAGGAAAAATAAATACATTTTGATGTCATTCTATTTTTACATTGAATTGGCTATTTACTGATTCTATTATCGATATTAGAATAACTCTTGAAAGTTTCAAAAAAGTGATGACACAAAAGACAAAAAGATGTAATCAAAGATTCTAAAAAAACCGAAGCCAAGCACTTTGGTTGGTTATCAAACACAGAAACCATGGTGAAAAATAGAAAAATTATTAATTTTAAAATAGAATTTTTTGATTTTTGAATTGGATTTTTTATTTACTTCATAAACCCCGCATAAAAGCCTCACTGCTCGTCATCGCAGTCTTAAAGCGAAAAGTAAAATCTATTAGCATTTATACTCCTTTTTGGTCCCTAGCTCTCGCTCTTACCAATTCCAAGCGTTCTAATTAAATCTCGCGCCCTAGGGCAATAGCCGTCAATGCCAATGGCTTCATGGTAATAAAAAGGCAAGAACGTGTTATTTGTTCGAAAACCATCAACAATGCGCCAACAACAAAGTTCGGGGATGCCTTAAAATTATTTTACTGAAAAGTCATGTATTAAAGGTAGTGATTATTCCAAAGGTAGTGATTATTCATAATAATTGAAAGATATAAACAAAAAAGCATGAAAACTGAAATGAAGGAGACCGGAGAATGAATGCAAAAGGAGCTGGGAAGACATTCAGATAGGAGCGTCGCAGCCTCTCCCCTCGATCGATCCCCGGACCACAATGAATATTTTGTAGAGATAAAGAGATTAAGAGACAAAACTTTAATTGATTCAACCCTGCACAAACCATTAAATTAACAATATCTCTTAAAATTCGCATCAAGAATTACTTATTTCATGAGTTTTCCCTTTCCGATTGATTCTGAAAATCTTTCCCTTGTTAATTCTATATCTAATTAACTTCTTGATCTTAATAATTAGATAAAGAATTTATCATTTTATCTAGATACTCTAGATAATAGATAAAATAGACTTTCAAATCAATTTTAAATCAATTTTTGTTCATTTTCAAGTTTCAGATGGATCGCCAAAAAGAAATAAAAGGGAAATTAAAAATTGGAGATTAAGCAAAAAATAGAGACAAGTTCGCTACATTGAACCGGAAATTCAGGGGGAGGGGACTAATAGAAAATCAGCTGATGGAGAGACGTCTTTGATTCACTAGGATAGTTCTCGAGATGGAGCTCCAATAGATTCATTTCGGGCATTCATTTGGAACAATGGGGGAAACGATGTGAATAAGTTTGATCAGCAAAACATAAAGTACGCTCCACAATTACATGATGGAATGGAGCATAGCGCTGAATGAGACCTATCTATACTTATTAGCCTTATATAGACTGCCGTATCCTGCTATGATTAGAGTTTTCCTCTCTTTCAACAACAACTTTTATGCCAAATCTAAAAATGCAATAAATGCAAGTGAGCCAAAACACTAAAAACTTTTTTCTTCTTCTTTTCTTTTTCCCAATCGAAGTCGAAGAAAAGAAGGTGAAAAGCGTGTTTTCCCATTGAAGAAGCAATTGTTTTCGGAATGAAATGGAAAACAAAACGAATCTACAAACGAATCTGTTTGTAGTCTTTCATTCTTTCATTCTTTGATTCTTTCTTAACAACAACAATTCATTCTTATTCTTCTTATCATTCAAAAAACCAATATGTTTTTCTTGAAATTTTTGTCATAGACCGGCTAAATTATGTTTTGATTTTTCGCATCGTACGTTTTTAAAGTGGCAAAAATATTTGAAGGTTTAGATATGGCTTTGAAGATGGAGGGTGTTGTAGCTATTGCGGTTTTATTCACGCCAACAGGCAATCATGCAAGTGATGCGCTAAGATACGATATCCCCGACAAGCGTGTAAGTTTTTATTTGCGTTTTTCCAGTAGTTCGATTAGGTGGTCGGGTTTTGAATGCGAATTTTTCGCAAAAATATTTTTTTACAAGAGAACGAAGCTATTCAAATTACTCCGGTTGTACCATTAGAAAGGTAAATCTGTGTTCTGGGTTTTTTTGGAGCGATTTTGAAAAGCTTCTGTTTTGAGGATTTTTCGGGGACGCAAAGACAAGTATTCAGAATCGTCAAAAATCGAAAATTGCCGACAAATATTTATTTTGGGGAATCTATTTGGAATGTTTTTACTCAACTTTTGAACAACTCATTGCATGTGTCAACAAATTTTCAGCCAAATACGTTTAGCCGTTTCTTTCAGAATGTTTGTTTGAAGCATAAAAAATAAGGATATTTGCTCATTTGAGAGACTTTGTGAACAAATTTGAAACATTTGCAAAAAAAATGCTGGACGGATCAACTGAAAATTTATAAATGCTTCGTCTTTAATTTGAGCAAAAAATTAATGTTAACTTTCCGTCGAAAGATTGCCAGGAGCGATTTTGACTACTTGTCTTTGGATCCCTGAAAAATTGCCAAAACTGGAGCTTTTTCAAAAACGCTGTATGAATATAACACAGAACAGATTTATTGTATAACATCTATAACACAGATTTATTTTTCTAATGGTGCAAACTGGACTAATTGTGATATCTTCGTTCGCTTGGAAAGAATGTTTTTGCCAAAAATCCGCATTCAAAACCCGACAGCCTAATAGTTCTGAAATCAGAAATAGAAAGGTCATTTTTAGATGCAAACGGCAGGCCGGCAAAACACAGATTTCTTTTAACTCTTTTTCTTGTATATTGACATTTTCTTGGTGTTAACGTGCTGTTTCTTTTAAGTGCCTCATGGTTCATTTTTGATCTCAGCGTTTTGCTGGTACCCTAATGAATAATAAATTCAATTTCAATTTTCAATTATTTCGAAAATTTCAATTAAAAAATTTGGGTGAACACTTCCAAAGCTATTAAAAAGTATTGTGAAAGAAAAATTATTGTAGACTTACAAAAAAGTTTCACCAGATGGTGGATTTGTTTCCTCCAGCGATATTGGAGAGCGATAACGAGGATTGGCTCGAAGACGATGAAGAATGAAGATGAGTCAAAGGTTGGTTTATCATTTGAAGTTACATCGAGAGGCTTGTTACAAAAGTTAGTACTTTGTGGGAGGGCACTTTTTCACCAAAAATCATTTTTCCCAGGGTAATTGATGACACTGATCACGAAAGAGTTATTAAGGCTAGTTAGTAATAGAATAATGTCAATTTTTAAAACTCAGTATAGTAGTTGGGTGGCCGACAAAAATCTTTTTCTCCAAATGAGCTGACTTTCCACCCAAGGGTTTTTGACTTTAATATTATAGGTGCCTAAATTTTAGGCAAGTCACTTGCGGTGCGGGAAGCCCAAGTCTAGGAGCCCCAACTACCATAGCACCCACAACAAACCAGTCGTTTTTCTTCATCCAAAAGATTGTGGCGGAGTACTGGTCGAATTGGAGCAGGAATAATTTTCATAACTAGTTTATTACCTTTTCTAGGAGAACTTTTTGTTTAAGTTTGGTGTACTTACTTGTGATTTTGACGATACGGTGAGCTTGCCTTGCATTTTTGCTTTGAACATAGATTTTTATTTTCAGATAAATGGTTTTATACGTAGTTTTTGACATATTGAATTTGTTGTTGAACTGCACATAGCTTTATTAAAATGAAAACGACAAGAAATTTATTATACGGAAATTCTTTAGTCGAAATTTGTATGAGCTGTGAAATATGGAATTTAAGCAACTAAAGCCAACTCCAGAGATAGTTTAAGCAACTCTAAACCCCAAGTTTCTGTAAACTTTTGTATAAGCTCTGTTACCGCACTGAGGTCGATTTTTAGCTATTTTCCGAGTCAGACCGATCCGCAGTTATATCATAAATTATCGTATCGCAGTTAATTAAGATAACGTACCACTAAAACAAACTGTGAAATATGCCACTAATATTCACGTTCAAATAAAAATCCTCTACAAATGCATTTGCATTATTTGTTTATAAGAACAAAAAATACCTATTTTCTGTAATATTATGCGCAATAATATATTAGGTATTTTAGCCTCAGTTTTTGAAATTTTCTATTTGCTACAAACACTTGAAGTACTCCGTCCCAATCTCGTTCAAACTTACTAATAAAATATTTGTTCAATGGTGTTTTTTGGCACCCCGGGACGATCACCACAAAGCAGAGTGTAATGGAGTACATCGCAGGCACATATCTCTACCGAAGACTCTTTGCGAATCCAAAGTACGGCTAAAAAGTTCTCTTTGTAGGTCAAAATCATGTCCGAAAGTTGCATCTAAAATGGCTTTATCTTAACATTTCTCTTCTATCTTAACATTTCTCTTTCAGTTTCTACGGCATCGGCGAGCTCTCGGAGGAGTCAGTTTGTCACTATTTGACGACGACCGTCGACCAAGTTATTGCTGATCTATTGGAAAGCAAATGTATCACGTTGGATGAGCTATGTGCCGCGTTCGTACAACATTTCTACAACATAAGTTGGAGTATCTTGGATTTTTGATTGAAAGTTTAGATGAGGAACATCACGGACAAGCTGAACCAAGATAAGGGACGATTGCGATTAAGAAGTATTAAAATTTGATAATTTCTGTGATAACTCCAACTTTGAGCTCAAATATCTTAATATCTTAATAAAAATATCTTAATAAAAATAGAAATTCTGACAACTGAAAAATTCGCCTGTCTGGAAAAAAAGATATTACACTTCGAAATTTGCTAAACTCGAAGCTGCAAGACCCTTGTGCATGACGTGTTCTTTTAAAGTGCATTCTATTCGATACCCATCCCCTTTTGCACCCCAACTTTGAGCTCAAATATCTTAATGTTGGACTAGCCAATTTAAATATTCTGAATATCATCGGATGCATATGTAGATCGAATTGCCATTCCTCCTTTTTCCTGTCCCGCTTACCGTACCTTCCCCATTCATGTCTTTTCTTGGCTCCGCGTCACCTGCTTTCCTTCAGCAATGGGCAACCTTCATATCTTATGTGGTATCTGTCTGTTTGTATCCTGTTTTTTCGGTGTCCTCTCATTTTTTCGAAAAAAAATCCGAAAAAGAGTCAATCCAAGCACGTCACGATTGACGTCACGTCAATCTTCAATTTTCACGTCAATCCAAGCACTCCTTTCACTAATCTTTTCCAAACGATTCTGCAATCGATCCTTTTTAATTAAAATTTTAGAGATTTCTTCGATTCGTTTCTTATCAGTGTATTTTTGAAAAGAAAAGGAAGACAAAGAAAAGAGAAATTAAGGAGCGAACACAAAGAATGGAACCACAACATCTCGGTCTAGCAATGATACATCAACACGATCAGGTGAGAAGAAATATGATTTAACAAACAAATCATATACCTTTATCTATCTTTATGTCTACCACTACCAGCTAGCTGCTTACAGTTTGTTTCCGGGAGAGCCTTTGTGACGAGATTTACTAGTATATAAGAATCAAGAATTTATTAAGAACACGTCTTATATCCTGGCCTGCGTCTGGTTTAATTTAGATCAGCTTACAAGGGTTAGAAGATTTCTTATGCTTGCTATGAAAACAAACAGGAACGAAACGACTTGACTTGTGTGCTTTTTGAAAATCTGTTATTGTCTCAAAACTCGTTAAAGATTGGCCCCATTCGCCAAATTCGTCCATGTCTCCGCCTCAATTCGATCGATGATCGTCCACTTCCGCTACATCTCGGGGTAATAAAGCTTTTCCTGAATTCATAAATTCCAGATTTTTCCTGTGATAAAGCAAGATTCCGTTTCAGATGTACGAAGCGGGACAACGACCTCGAGTCTCGAGGAATCGGACAATAAGTGGTGCGTGCTTTGAAGA